ATGTGCAATAATTTGATCTTAATGACTAATTAGTTGCAAATGGTGGATGACATTAAATCAAACTTTAATTATCCCTCAAGGGATGTTGAAGATTTTATTTAATTATTTTAGCATTAAATTAAAGGTTTGTGAGGCCGTCAATGTAAAGTCATTTCTTCATTATTTACCACTTTACAGTCTTGTGGCTGAAATCTGATCTCAGTGCTGTGTCGTTTGACTGGTTGGTGCAAAATCTGCTCATATGCATCCAGGTAGCTGCTGTTGACTTGTGACATAAGATAAGTCCATAATTACCAGTTCTTTTCATTTGACTTCATTTTCGTTCACAGGGCCCAGGTACAAACTGGAAAACTGAGTGATCCCACTCAAGTGTTTTTAATTCAGCGTCACACTTTGTTCAAATGAAAATCGCCAAAGAAAAGGTGTTTGTTGGACAGCAGGATTATTTCAGGGAGAAGCAGGGAGCAGCTATTCATCACTTTGAGCACAATGCAGCACGTTAATGAAAAAGGAAAACGTTTGAAGTGTCCCGGTGACAGCAGCATAAAAGCATTGAATTGAGTAAATATTGAGATCCGTGGCAACAAAAAAGCACATTTTCACAGAGGAAGTGTAAATCGTTATATATTTAATTTTACCTCTGAGCTGCTCTTAGCAGAATCTTCTTCCTCTCTGCTAGTTTTTCCTGTCAGAAGAGAAACAGAGAAAACAGCCTCTTTTATTCCTGACACCGCTGTGAAAGCGGCCTTGACTTCGTAACACCTTAAGAGTTTTCAAGATAGTGGAAAAAAGTAGGTGTGAATTCCACATTGTGGTGTTTGCTCTCTGTTGGATTGTTTTCTCTGTAGAAAGTCCCTCGGAGGAAGGTTACCAGAGACATCCAGTGGCCAAACTGTGCTAATGCTGGTAAAAAGAGCAACTGAACTCCCCACTGTAGCCAGACTGAGCCATGTGCCTCTTAAACACGACAAATAGATTCTAGTGAGCGGTTTAGGGGGTTGTGTGTATTCCCAGTAGACAATATAACAATAATAATAATAACTTATAAATGCACACTCTTTGTGGCTGATATGCTTTTCTCCCATAAAGCAATGAAGAAAAGAATTGGAGGAGCAGCTCACAGCCAGAAAAAAGTTAAAACGTATTTATTCCCATTATCTATTCTGCTGATCCCTTAAAGGGATAAGCAGATGTGGAGTTTGGAGAAAGATGTGGATGAGGGAATGTGGAATAATTAATAATGAATTGTCTGCTTTAACTGTGATGATATTCATGATGGCTGCTGCAGATGATCGTCTTTGTTTGTTTGTTCATTTGATGGTTTTTTTTTTTGTGCTTTGTAACATATTGCCTCCTGGAGGAAATTGAAGTTTCTGTGGTGAGGAATATGTACTTATGGATTTGTAAGTTATATATAATGAACACCAGAATCCTCAAACAACCTTAAAACAGCAGGTAATCTGCCTGGAATACCAAGGGGCAGTCGAAAGGTATTTGTAAATGCAACATCAGACACTGTTTGAAATGGTAAAGTGAACAACCTGTTTCTCCACAGGGAGAAAATCAAGAGGTCAGAATTCAACAGAGATAAATGGAGATAGACAGAATTTATATATTAAGTACATATGTACATATATTTATTTACATATTGATTGTTCTGAGATGTTTGTCCGTCTGGAATCCAGCTGTCGATTTAAATAAACGTGTGGTTTGGAGTCAGTTAATATTTAAGGGACATATATACTGTATCTACCACATCAGGATCACTATACAACCTGCAAACTGTTGAAGAGACTGCAGATCGCGTTCTCTTCTTCCTCCACATTTAGACACACTTCTCCTATCATTGATCTCAGCAGGACGATCGCCTCCCGGGCTGAAGTCTGCAGCTCCTTCACCACCTACAGAGCGAGAGAGAGAGGGAGGCGGCTCACTGTCAGTGTCAGTCACGGTGGGAAACTTAACTCATATTAATTTGTCATCAGACTGAAAATCTACCTGTTCTAACTTCACTACAGCTTCTCCTGCATCTTAGAACCCATTCAGATCACCTTCAACATTGGATGTTTTTATTTAGGTTGGAATGTTTTCTTGTTATCTTCATCTGCTTGCTCTCTCATGTATTCTCTTTAATCACATCCACCAAGGAGATTATGTTTTCACTTGAGTCTGTTTTTTTGGTTTATTTGTCAGCAGGATTATGCAAAAACTATGAAACCGATTCACTGAGTGAAGGAATGGAGCACAGATATGAGAAGTTAACATATTTTTGGTGATGATCCAGATTATAGGTCAGATGCAGGATTTTATTTTCACTTTTTTAACATTGAGCTTTAATTCATGAAACCATTCGTTTAGAGGGCTTGTATTTATTTTGTGCATTTCAAAACAATATCTGAATCTAGCAGTTTTTTATATCTTTATGGGGTGCTGTTAAATATTTAGTCTCTAATCCTAACCCACATATAGAAATTCCCAAAAAGTAATTTGCATGTATCCCCATTTAATTGTAAAAGGCTTAAAGTATTATTTTGAAAAACTATAATCAAATTGCCCTTCGCTGTATTGCACGATGTCAGATGAAGAGACAGAACTCTCTCACCAGCACAGCCTGGTCCAACATCTCACAGCCCTGCATGTAGGCTGTTTCAATATCAATGCAGTGAGTCCGACTCTCCCTGCGGTAAACAAACGACAAGTCATTTGATGGTGGAGGAGAAGAGGAGAGATGGACTATATTAGTGATGTATGTAGTGGATTCACTTACACTTGCATGTCTCTGAAGCACTTGATACAAAGCATTGACTTATTCTCTGTTGAGAAGAGGATGTACGGCTCCTCGTGGAGAGCTGTGGAGACACAGATGCCTTTTTAACTTCAGCCCAAATCTAAGTAACCAGTTGTATATAAAGCTAAGACACTTGGGTAGAATATGATTAACATGTAGCCCAGGACATTCAAGCAGGGAACAGGTGGGACGACAGTTCTCCTGAGCAACATTCTACCGCTGGTGTAATAAAACCTTCTTGGCCTGTGACTCTTCAGGAGTAAATTACAGGTGACACTCACAGCACTTCCTGTGTTTGGCTTTAGTGCGTTTGGCCAAGGTGACAATCTCATGATGGGAAAACATTCTGGCTTTGTGAGTCAGCTCCTTGCAGTCTCCGCACAGTGGCTGGCTGCAAGTGTTACAGAAGTACATCAGCCCTGTTTCCTGTGCAGAAACAACAAAATAAAATTGGTTTTCAGGATTGACAAATAATCAAATGTCACCGAAATAATTTGAGACACTCTGCAATCCCATCAAGACAATTCTACACAACACAGTGTTTTTAACATCTTGAGTTACAACAGCAAGTTTCCAAAGTGCATGTGTCCCTGTGTCAGCTACATACACACAGACACAAATACAAAATGTGGATCTTTCTCTCTGAACGCTCTTTTATATCTTAAGACATAAAACATTACAGCATCATGTGCTCTTCATATGATATCTGATAACCCTGATGTTTCGTTCATGTCCTTTCTGTTACTGGGCCTCACCAAAATTCCTCGGTTAAAAGGGATAGTTCACCCAAAAATGAAAATTCCCTCAACCCCTAAAAGTCCAACGGAAGTGGCTAAGCTAATGGGCATTAGCACGTCTGATAGTCTGTGAATGCACCTCGTAGGAAGATATCAGTGGATAATAAAGCCAAACACTTGGTGGAAATGATCCTTGTTTCGAGTTGGATATGAATGTCGGGACCTGCGGACACACAGAAGCAGTATGGAGGCATGTTTTTACAGTTGTTTTATTACGTCCCCTGAGACTCCAGAAGTTTTTTGTGGACTCAAACACTTCACCCCTGCATAATGGTGAGTAGATACTGAGTGCATTTTCATTTTTCAGTGAACTATCCCTTTAAGCTTTTACACAACATAAGTATCTTGTCTATATGTTCCTTGATTATCTGTCTATGATGCCGTTACGTCAATAAGAAATCGTTTTAGTACCTTTTTGTTACTTTCCTGGTCACAGTTGGCACATGGGACTGTCTCCTCTGTGTCTGCATTGTTGTCAACGAGAAACTTGAGCAGACGGTCTTCTGGTGGGAGGGCATTATTCCCTTTTATGATGGATGGATATCTGTGACAGTAAGAGAAACTAAACTAATGATTTATGTTCCATGTAAATCATTTTCTGACACAGTGAGGTGAAAGGGAAAGATGTGAATACTTCATGTAATACTAATTTTGTACCATGATCAGATATTGCTCAACAACAAAATGTGAAAAAAATAAGACAATAATGTGCAATCATTGTTTTTAAAGAAAGTGAAATACCTCAAGTTTGAGACACACAATTTTCTACACGACCGACATTGCCTCAAAGCATCTGAATATAAATCCAAGGGTTTTTTTTATAAAATCTAAACATTAGATTTTCACAAGAAGAATTTATTGCAAAAACCAAGAGCAAATGTAAGTATAAGAAAATCTGTCTCACAATTCTGAAAAACCTCCACAAGAGTACAAATCTAAAAGGGCTTTGAAATTAAAGCAAAAATGATTCATGGTGATGTCTATGAAACATGAAACATCAAAGGACACATATACGTCACTATATGAATGAAAACTCCTCAAAAAATTTATTGTTGATCGTCAAGTTCCACTCCCAGGTATTTATAAGCCGAGAGCCACTCAACTAATTCACCCTCAATCCAGGGAAGAGGGACTATTGGTTTTTTTTCCTTCTAAAATCTAGGAGGAAAATACATTAAACACCAAAACAAAAAAGTTTATACGTAGATATACATGTTTTATCATTTAAAACCCTGTGTGATCGTGTAATATGTTAGATATTGTAACTTTTAATGATTTAATAAAACCTGTGTGATCGTATAATATGTTAGATATTGTAACTTTTTAATGATTTAAAAACCCTGTGTGATCTCTTTCTGAGGGAGAAACTAACTTAAATAGTTTATTTTTACGCAGTTCTCCGACAAAGCAGAGGGGGCAGCAGCAGCAACATTCCAGGCCGCTCCCCTGCCCTCGAAGAAGAAAACACGGAAGTTGCGACAGAACACGATCTAATCAAACGTGCGCAGTAGCTGAAGCTCGACGTTCCGACATCTGGAAAGTTCTAGATCGAGATTCACTCTCTGAGCGACAAGTCCTCAGCGCAGGTGAGCAAATTATCCGCCGGACGGAAACATTAACACTCGAAGTGTGAGAATGTCTGTGATCTCCGAGGGGAACGTGCGAGGCGGCAGCGTCTTTAAGGACATCAGCGCCGATGACGAGGACTGGCAGCCCTCTGAGATCGAGAGTCTGTGTATGAACTGCTACAAGAACGGTATGACCCGTCTGCTGCTCACCAGGATCCCCTTCTTTAAAGAGGTCATCGTCAGCTCCTTCAGCTGCGAGCACTGCAGCTGGTCCAACACCGAGATCCAGTCCGCAGGCCGGATCCAGGAGCAGGGCGTGTGTTACACCCTCAGGGTCAAAACAAAGCAGGACCTGGACCGGGAGGTGGTGAAAGCAGACTCCGCCACCACCAGGATCCCTGAGCTGGATTTTGAAATCCCTCCGTTCACCCAGAAGGGCTCCCTCTCCACCATTGAGGGGCTGCTGGATCGAGCGGTCGCAGGGCTGGAGCAGGACCAAGCTGTCAGACGGACCACTCAACCCGAGGTGGCCGAGAAGATAGACGAGTTCATCAAGAAGCTGATGAAGTTGAAAGACGTTGAGAATGAATTCACCCTGGTGATCGAGGATCCGTCCGGAAACAGTTTTGTGGAGAACCCGCGGGCCCCTCAGAGGGACGAGGCCCTCACCGTGACCCTGTTCAAGCGGACGGTGCAGCAGGAAATGCAGCTGGGAATCAGGGCCGACGATGACCTGGAAGAGGAGCCGGCAGGCAACGACCTGGACACCATGAGAAATGAGGTTTTGGTCTTCAACACCAACTGCCCAGAATGCAACGCGCCCGCCTCGACCAACATGAAGCTCGTCCAGATCCCTCACTTCAAGGAAGTCATCATCATGGCCACCAACTGCGACAGCTGCAGCCACCGGACCAATGAGGTGAAGTCGGGTGGTGCCACGGAGGAGCAGGGCACCAAGATCACCCTGCACATCACCGACCCCTCAGACATGACCCGAGACTTGCTCAAGTCGGAGACGTGCTATGTCCTCATCCCGGAGCTGGAGTTTGAGCTGGGGATGGCAGCTCTCGGCGGGAAGTTCACCACCCTGGAGGGGCTGCTGAAAGACATCAAGGACCTCATCGTCTCCAAAAACCCCTTCATCTGCGGCGACAGCGTCGCTTCAGACCGGATGCATAAGCTGGCAGAGTTCGGAGAGAAGATTGAGGAGGTTATCTCAGGGAAAATGGACGTCCACCTGGTCCTGGACGACCCAGCAGGGAACAGCTACCTGCAGAACGTGTACGCCCCTGATCCTGATCCTGAGATGACGATTGAGAAGTACACTCGCACATTTGAGCAGAATGAAGATCTCGGTCTGAACGGCATGAAGACAGAGGGGTACCAAAAAGAAAAGTGAACTTCCAGCTCTCGCTGAATGGACTAAAAGAGTCGTTAATTGATAATGTCTTGATAAAAACCTTGTGTAATTATCCTACTCCATCTTACTTTTTTTTCATACATTTTAAGTTTAATTTAATCACGGGCCGAGAGGTTGTGTTCAATAGTATATTGATCACTGAGGGGAATTCTAAGTTACCAGAATACACATGTATTTGAAAATAATTATAAAAACACATCAGTAACCTAATTTGTGCAAAAACACAGATGCTGTTGATAAATTTGGTGTTTATTTGCATTGTTGTATCGTCCCAGAAGATGGCGCACTATCCTCACCTCTGATTAAAAAGGCTTCTTTTCTTTCAGTGGATCCCACACTGTGTGACTAAAGTAATCTTCTTATACACCTGCGAGCATGAGATCGTCTAAATAAAGCAATATCTAATTCATACTTTAGCTCTGCTCTTTGATTTGGCAGATGTTAAAAGACGGCAGATAAGGTTTGCGTTTCGATTTAAATACAAATGTTCTGCTCTAATCTGCATAATTAGTCGTCAGAAAAGCCAGAATTTTAATTTCACTGCACGTACTAGGCAAATGCTCCTAAAAAATGGGTGTTTTTTGTGGATTCATGGGAAAGTTTGTTAGCGCGTTGGTGCAAATAAAAGCTCAGGCTGCTTTAACTATCAATTCTTTCCAACAATGAATCAAGAGAGCCTGTATGAGCTCAGGGGAAAAGTCAAGTTTAGGAAAACAAGGGTGAGGACAAATATCAAAAAAAGATGTGGAACTGTAAATATAATAAGGTGCTACAAACATGTACATTTAAAAATAAGGTGATGGATATATTTCAATTATAAAACTTCCTTAGCCGATTTAATTCTAAGTATAAAAGGTTTGTTTTGCTCCATTAATCTTTTGGTACCTTTTGCTTTCATGCTTTGTACTAAATTTCTTGTGGAGACTGAACATGTGGATTAAAAATAAACATTCAAATAGTTAAGTTTTCACGGGTGGCGTCCTCAGGTTGCTTATTTAATTGAACTGTGCCCAAAGATATCAGTTTCCAAAGAGAAGCTTCAAATCTATACTTTTAAGAAGTTCGAGGAAGAGTGTTTGTTTTTATCTACTTGGAAAAACTGCTTGAAAAAAAACCAACAGTTTGTCTTATTGTGTTTCAGCTGTACTGATGCACACACCCACTGTCGTTCCCCCACTGTGTGTGTTTTATCTAGTTTTCATAGCAACAGGGATCTATTGTGTTCTACTAATAGCACAGTAGTGAATTCCGAGATTACACGGCTCTTGATAGAGCAGCTGTTAGCGGGGCTGTAGAAATAGTAGCTGCCAGGCAACAGGCCCCTGAAGCCCGAGCCCCAGACTACAGAACTCAGCGGCTCTGTGCCCACTGGATTATTTCCATATAGAAAATCTCAACACAGGTGAACATGAAGTAGCTGTGAGGCAGACGGGGAGGTCGCCTGAGGTTCAGTCATAGTTTGTTTCAATAATTTATGATTTAGTTTATAAATGTAGCTTAAACTTTCCTGAGGAAGGCGGAAAAGAATCAAATATATCCTCAGATGAAACAGTATTTTGAGTAGACATCTCTGTTTTAGCAGAATCTGAACCCAGAAGCTTCTTGTCTTGTTTAAGCAGTTCTCAGTCTGAAACCTCTGACTTCCGACACTCAGAAGAGCCGCATACCTCCACTAACAGTCCCCTAAATTCAATCAAGCCTTAAAGCTAAGCCAACAAAGCAATGCAGATCATGAAATCATAATCTCCATTGCAGAAGGATGATATTTGATTAAAAAAACAGCATATGAAACCACATTTAACCGAGAAATCTGTGAGAGAAAGTGCTCTATTTCACTGTGATAGAAAAAGAAAACCACAGGACCAATCCCCTTAGTCTGGATTGGCACTGGAATTGAATGGGTGTTTTCTTTGTCCCATCCTTCCACCAAGTTTCTTAGAAATCTTTTATGTAATCCGATGCAGCAGAAAATATTTCAGATTTAACATCTTGCATTAGAGGTGAATTTCTTTACATCCCTATGTGTTTTGATGGGGGACAGTTAATACTGCAGACCTGAAGGTGACTGTAAAATCACGAGTCCCTACTTAATAGGGGATGAAATAGATTGGTATCATGTGACTGTTTTTGATTGCTCTAAGCTCCTGGCACTGGTGGCGAATGTCAGAATGCTTTGTTTGCTGTGTGACCGGTCTTAGTGGTGTTGAGGCCAAGGGCTAAATCAGAGACTCAGGATGACCCTGCAGCTGTTAGAGCCACTCAGTCCTCGGCTGCCCGCACCAGACCAGCAGAGGGTCACTGAGCAGAAACACAGTGACTTGACTCTCTCCGAAACCAATTGGATTCTCCCCAAATCTGAACCACACAGATCTACAAATCACCTTAAACGGAACAAATCCCTTTGAGCAACGCTGCACAAAACTGGGGCCTGAGGAAGAACATGGCCTCGTACATGAAGAGTTTGACCCCGTGTGGGATTTCAAGGAGCAATAATATTATTTTACTCCAGGATTTTAAACTGTTTAGTCACGTTTTAACTATTTGAGATCACCTGTGAATTGCATCATGATACCATTCAAGTTGTGGGAGACGCCAATCTTCCTGCAAAAACAGTCAATCCTTGACCTTTGACCTCCATATTTCAGGTGTGATATCAAGACTCAGACTAAACACTGTGTTCAACACCTTGAGTTTTTCCTTAGCTTATTATGAATCATGGACTGCATGTAAACACACATGGCAGCTCCCCAAATGTAGAACCAAAGCACCTTGCTGGCTGCAATATAGGTCATAAATCCATTAAACTCCATGTTAATGAATAACATATATCAAATATGGTTTCTGTCATGTTAGGTAGTTCTCACCACACTAATGCACAGTATGTTCATGGTTTAATGTTTTCGGTAACTTTGCTTCTGTGATTGGTTTCATCCCCTGATCACTAATCCGCAATGTAAGGCTCCATGTGTGCAGTGTTGGTTTCTGGGATATTTTAGCTTAATTTTTTAATAGTGGAAAGAAGTGGAAACATGTCGCCCACCTTTATGATCAGACCATAGTTTGAGGAAATGTTTTTAGGCTTAAATTAGCCAGAACTCAAGACTTCTTCATGATTGATAATTTACATGCAGCCTCAATGGTTCCTCATCAACCTCACAGTGATATTTCTTACCCACAGAGGGGGCAGCTGAGACGGCTGTCACTGGTCCGGCCTCGCAGGCAGCGGGCGCAGAAGATGTGGTAGCAGTCCAGCAGACACGGGGACTGGTACTGCTCGTGACACAAGTGACACATGAGGGGGTGGACGCTTGTACAGTCCACGTTATACTGATTATCCAAACTGGTGAAGATTCCTCCGGCCATCTGTAAACACAGTGTGTGAATATTTAAAGACTGTGAGTGTGTGTGTCAAATGATTGACGTTTTTTTAAAAGGCCACATCATCCCATCACTAAACAATGAATCCTTAGCATGGTGTTGAATTACAGTCAAAATAGATGAGAGGCTAAGCCGACATGACATGAAGCACTTTGATCAAGAGTCATATATTGACTGAAATAAGCAAGAGGAACTTTTCTTTTTCATTTACCTTCTCAGATGAGTGTTACGTGGTCAAGACCTTCAGTGACGATACATAATCCACAAGAAAACAACATCACAAACATTACCCACACTGGAAATTCCACCCAGCTAACAAAACTTTGTGTAAAATCAGTTTGTTCATCTGGAGTAAGCAGAGAGCCACTGTCTTACCTTTCAGTGGTGCTATCAGCTCCCCCCAACAGGAATGACAGCAATGAGGAAACTCTTCAGTAGTAGAACGGTGGGGTCCCGCTGCCGGGCAGCTGACAGCACCCACGTAATGCCAGCCCCCGAGTGTTGCCAGAGAGCAAGAGGGACATTTAATATTGCTGTCCCATAGTTTTTTTTATTACTGCAAATACAGTTGTCTTGTAACTAATGTCATACTCTTATTAAGTCTTGTACATAGAGTAAACGGAGGGAAGGGGGTGGAGATTACAGCCGTGTACTTACTGTAATACTTTATCGGGAACGCTTTCAACTTGTCATATAAAGGATTATTTTTAAGCACTTTGAGATGTGTGTTGGCAAAGTGCTACATAAATCAAACGTATTGTTGTGATGCATAAAAACAATGACGTTGATTTCACTACTTTAGAACAATAGACGTATTATCCATTGTAACTAAAGAGCAAAGAACTGACAGTGATTACTTTCAAATAATTTCACATTAGTTTACTGACATTGATAATATATAATGTGATGCGAGTCATAAATACATATTTTATCACTATTTTACTGCTACTGTAGTATTAAGTATATTAACTAAGCTAGTACTATTATTATCATGTGTCATGGTGTTATCAGTCTATCTATATATTTATCTTGTTGTCACATCTAAACATAGTTGTTAACATTCATTTATATTTCGTAAGTACATATTTATATCGATTTTTGATATTTCTATTTTTTGTTCACATGTCTCGTAGTTAAAAATTTGTTTTTACTTTAAAACCTTAAATCGTGCGTGTTCCAGATTAGGCCTCTACGGCCCTCACATTATTAGATTGTATTCGTACAGAAACAATCATGACTCTTAAAAGAAAAGTTAATTTACGTGGTTAATTAAATTTGCTTAATTAGCCTCAGGTTGATTGTTTGAGCAGCAGTTAGCCAGAAAAAAATAACAACATTTAGAAAAGATAGTGTTCAGTTATTAAAACTGTCTGAGATACCAGTTGTTTTTCTTATTTGATTAGAATTGCGTCTAAATCCCCGCGTGTATCCTGTAAATCGCGTTAAACTCTAAAGCTAGTTTGAGTATCTGTCCCCGGAGCCGCTTCCTAATCGATCCCGGATAACTCGATGAGAGATCGATCGATGTAGCGGCGCGGTATTAAACCTCCTGCGCAACCTTCCCCCTTCCTTTTAGCTGAACGTGTCAGCCATGGCCCCGCTGGTGAGTCGAGACACGGTCGAATAAACCGCGAACACACGGTGTATTTCGGGTTCCGTTGCACATCCGCGGCCGTCTGTTCAATCCGCGATCTTTGACATGCGTGTCGGGGACATTTCGATCGCGTCCTTTCGATTTGTTCGCTCTGTCGACGAGCACCACGTTGGGCTAACTCCCAGTGCTAACGTTAGCTAGCAGCAGTTAGCGTGTGCAGCATGTCGCAAAGTGTTGTGGGTGAAACGTGCACGGGCGAGATACACAGTCAGCACTTCTCTTTCAGTATTGTTGTTATTTACGTTGTGTTTTTCGCAGTCACGTGATGTGATAGTGTTTTCTGTGAGTTTTAATAACCTGCATGTTTCACTCGCTCCTGAAAAGACAGGTGGTCGAGGAGCAGGCTGGGAGGAGGAAGTCTGTCGATGTATCTGTCCATCTATCTCTTTATCTTGTTTGTGTAGCTATTTATCTGTTTATCTCTCTCTCTATCTATCTGTGTATCTACCTCTCTATCTCTCTCTCTATAGCTCTCCATTTGTCTATCTGCACAGTGTGTTCGGTGAAATAGATTCAGGCAGATACAGTTATGAGCTCTTAAACGTGTTCTTTTGAAGTCACGTGATGTGATGGTCGTTTCTGTGAGTTTTAATCACCTTTTTCGCAATTTTTCGCTCGCACCA